TAACTTTTCACTAGTAATGGCTTTTTAACTTTTTAATGGATTTCTTTTGTCTTGGCCAATTTTGTTTAAATTGGCAGGCAAGTCATACTGTCTCTAATTGTCTCAGCAGCAAAAAAAATGATTTTTGAATACTTTCGCCACCTCCTACCAGTCTTGTGATAGTAGTGTTCAAATGATCATGCTTTTTATTTTGGCTACGTTGCGCACTGGTAAGAGATCACCCCCGCCGATATTGTTACACTGTATCAAGGTAATCCCAACGCAACTTTGAACTTTGAATGAACTGTAAATGCTGCGTTTAATCTAGTAACTACAATCGCAAAACGGTCGGAAAAAATACAATTAACAGCAGAATACGTGCTAGTAATAAAGTAAAATGAATTCTGAAGACTGAATGTTTTTTCCCGGTTTTAGTTACAAACCGACGTTATCTTTACGTTCATGTCCTACCATGTCAACAGCTGAAAGCTTGTCTTTTTGCTTTGTTTTATTCTGTGAAGTAGATATATATTGCAGTGCTATATTAGTAATTGGCATGCTAAATATATTTGAATATAGTGAATCATCAGATTAATCATTACTTAATTAGTCTATTATTGAATAGAATACGGTGTAGCCCTCAGTAGTTTAGTTGGGGGATTTTCCTAGGTCAACCACATTTTGCATACTATGCATATGGTCACAAATTTTATATTGTTGCAGAGTCTTGACATTTGGCTGTATTTGTTTACGCTATCTGTTAGTCGTTGTGTTCTTGTAAAAGTGGATTTTTTTTGTTTTTGATTAAGTCGGTTGGAACTGGCAGAGAAATGTTAAAAACATATTTGAAACATATATATGTTGTTGAGTGTCAAATTTTGATTTATTTGTATTGGATACCCCACTAAACATTTAATCAATTGCTAATAGAACAAACATTCATTTGTGTGTTTTCCTTGTATTAAACTTTTGATGCCAAAGAATACTAACGATTTTTTCGAATATAATTTAAATGACCCAGACCTTTTTAAGTTTAGGGGGATGTATGTAAACTATATCTCCTACTTTGAAATTGCTTTCCTGTGACCTTTGATCATCATTACGCTTCATTTTCATGTTTTGTCCGGCGATTTCACTTTCGAAATGAATGCAGTTTCAGCTTTGTTGTGTCGGGGGGAGGGGGGGGGGGTAAATGTCATATTGATTTAAAGACAGTCATTTATTTAAATTACTGATATGTTAATATTACATAATTTGAATGTTATATAATTATCGCGAAAATTACTTGTTGATAAAATATTTATAATCTGGTAAGTTAAATTGTAAATTAAAGCCCCGTGATCTCATATTTTGTAGTGAGTCTTATGCGTTTAAACTTTGTCGTGGTTCCGTTGAACGACAATTTCTGACCACGTGACCCTTTTTATTGCATGCATATTTGTTTTTTTAAAAACTCGTTTGCGATGTACCGTCTATTTCAACAATTACAGCAACTACTAGACTTGCTGGCAGTCTGTTGCGATTCCGATGAAAAATTCTTGAAAATAAATATAAATTGCGTAAACGAGGGGTGAACACGAAATCCCAACCGTCTCTATATTATCAGATCGAATTTATGCCGCCATTTAATGTATAAAATTAAATAAAAAATTAAATCCGAGTACGATATACTATTGTACGTTTGAAACAACTTGAATGTAAGGACAATTTAGGATAAAATATATACTTTAATTTTTAAACAATATAATGAATGATATATTATAATATATCTAACTGATCGCAATCTCCGTCTAGAATGTGTTTGGGGCGTGATCTACCCAGTATAAGAACATTTATCTACCTGTACCCTAACGACCGTTACTAGGCATATATGAGAAATATAGAGCCGCTAGAAAGAGATTATACGTTTGTTTTGTAGACTATAAAAAAGCATTTTACTATGTTGACCGAGCTAGTTTATTTTTAAAACTTGTTAGAGTAGGCTTTAGTTGTAAAATGGTCAATCTTTTGCAGAGTATGTACAGTGTGGTTAAATATTGTGTAAAATTACCGCATGGTTACACAAAAACATTTACATCTGAGATTGGGGTACAACAAGGGGGCATATTAAGCCCAATTTTATTTGCATTTTTTCTAAACGATTTAGAAATGCCTTTGAATAAAGCACCATTTAATGGTGTTGAATTGGATGATTATCCACTAACATGTCTTATGTATGCCGACGACGCCGTTATTGTATCTGATAGTGCTTCGGGTTTACAGTCGTTACTTGCCAAATTTCAATTTTATTGTTATACGTGGAAAATGTTTGTAAACACCACTAAAACTGAAATTATTATTTTCATAAGGATATTGTTGACTGTGATGACGATAACTTGGATTTTAAATTATT